CGTTACTGATCTGGAGGATCTACAAGAACCGCCAGAAGAAGAGATTGTATTTGAGCCTGAAACGCCTCAAGTAGCAAAAGTCACTCGATCTGGGCAAACGTATGCGCAAGCTACAATGTCAGGGCTGCATCTGTTTGACGCGGGATTTACGCAATTTCCTGAGTTTGACGCGGAATTGACGCAACTTGCGTCAATTTGACGCAGTTTCGTGCGTCGCGCGTCAATTTGACGCAAAAATCTGCGTAAATTTGACGCGAAATTGCGTTAATTTGACGCAGATTTGACGCAGATTTGCGTTAATTTGACGGGGGGCGTGCCCGTTTTTGCGTCAAATTGACGCACGGGGCATGCCCGATTTCCACAGTGCGCCCGCGCTAAAATTGAAACGGACACTTAACGTTTTTAAAAAAAAGCATTTTTAACAATTAACGGACATTTAAATTGCGTGCGTTGCACGTTGTGGTGCGTTCCGGGGAATAGAAATTTAGCATACAATTCTTGGGAGTAAAATTGATTTTCCCGGCCGTTCCAGACGCTTTTAGTCATCTGAGTCAGCGACTTGGACTGAAGATCAAAGCAAAACTGCTTCACTCAGTTTTTTAAAACTGCACAGTTTTTAAAAAAAATTTGTGTCACACTGTTCAAATATTGAATATTCAATATGTCGTGTGGTACCTTGTGTTGTGTGTAGAGCTTTGGGGTACAAGTACTGAACGGGAAGATCATCATATTGAATAGGAGGAGTTACTTGACCCAGTCTCTAATGGCAGAGCAGAGAGACTGATCCGAACTTTAACGTTCACCTCCGTAACGTGACTGACTGGACTGCCAAGTCCCGAGCAGATGCATTAGAGCGATCGAAAGCCAACGGTCGTCGCCAATCTCAAGCCCAAGATCAATCATCCATCATCTACTCACAGCTGCTTCAGACCCCGTAAATACATCCCAATAGCAATATCAATCACCGTCTATCATGTCCAACAGTAGCTACATCAATGCACTAGTACGCTCTCTCTACGATGAGAGTCAGGAGCACAACGTTAGCACGTTAAGTGGAAGCCAGCCCGAGATTCGAAGCCCCAACGCATTTGATTCGCAGTCAGAGCCACCAAGTTTATTCACACGATCAGCCAACACATGGGGAGGACAGTTCAACCCTGATCATTTCCACCGCAACACGTTCGCTATGATGTCAGCAAGTTCTGTCAATATGGAGAATGCAGCGTTCGCCGCGATGACTGCCGTGTCGCATCACAAATATGAAAAAACAAAAAAAGAAGTGATCGTGTCAACGAGAAATCGTATTGGGTCAACAGAAGCCACGTAGACAAAACCATCACCTACAACCAGTATACCATCAATACTGCCGTTTTGGCTCCAACTACAGAGTCTCCGGAAATCAAGCAAGCGATCCTACAACAGTCTGTGAACTCCATCAAGCAGAAGAAGACAACAATGGAACACAAGGTGGATTTCTTGATGAAGCGCTACACATCAGTATGCCCAGACGTTCGCTCGCGAGTCAACGCCGCCACCAGCAAATTGTTCGACGTGACTAGTGACGTGTACGAATTCACAAGCCTACACGTCATCGACAACACAGGACAAGCGATCGCTACAGGACCGGGACCAGGACTTCCAGCCCCATTTAGAGCCGCCGCCACATACTTCAGAATCGAGCTCCGATTGGTCCCACGGCTCTGTTCCCTACGAACTGACATTGGAATCAACCCAACAAATTTCCCGCCATATTCCAATAGAGCTATATACATTCCAGTGCCAAGAGTCCAGAACCAGATGGATGTATCCATCACTCGCCAAATGGTAACGGACCAAGCACATCATAAGGAAATCATCGCAGCAATGGTAGCATTGGGAGAAGAGTTCTTGATGAGAGCCGCAACCAGAGACGGAGAACCTGACAACAAAGCCTACGAAAAGTGGTCCAAGCAGCAGATTGCAAGACCCAATTCCAAGCGCTTGAACAAGCACTCATGGCCACCTACGTCGGACTACAACAAGGAATTGAGACGCCAAACCAACAACTGGCAAAACTCAACATGATCCAATACAAAGGAGGCACCATGATTGTTAGAAGTAAGCGATCCACTGCCGCCTGCAATCTACCTGTTCAATTGACTGCAATTTGGCTGTCCAGGTATTGTTGCCTTCTAAGTATGTGAATTTACAGTATATAGAAGTATATAGATCTATTAGAGATCCTACTTTATCAACCAATTCACTTGTTGCTTGCAATATATTATAAAAAGTGAGAACAATCTGTCAACTTTTGACTTCGACTCTTTCTTCTCCAGCTCAGTGGAAATTCTCAGAATTCGCTCTACGTCAGCCTGATATGCTGCAAGCTCAATGTGTTTATCTGTTCACCTTCCACTGTAGTTGGTACTTTGATTAGTATCCAACTTTGGTTCTTGCTTGAATCTTGATTTCTTACATCATCAACAGGATGATTTCGATAGAAATATGATCCTTTTTCTGACTCGCCACGCGCGATATTTTTAGTCGCATCAGTCTTCATTTTTAGTCATATCAGTCGACATCTTTTCTCTATCGTTCACATGTATTCTCTTTTTCTCGTTTCTCCAAATATGTACTTCAAAAATCCTAATATATTCAACACACTCCTGCTGTTTCATTAACATAGTTGATGACAACGGAACATCAAAGGAAATTGTGTTGCTCCTAATCTTGTTCTCCTTGGATCAATGATCTGAATTCCAAGTATTTTTGTCCCTGTAGAGGTTTGCTCATGAAATCTCCCCACATCTTGTCAGTTGGACAATATTCAATAGTCACATTTCCTTTCTTGACTTGATCAGTCATAAAGAAATATCGAATGTTCAAAGCACGGCTTTGCTTTCTGGCACTATCACGTCCATTCTTTTCCAATAGAATTGAACTCTTGTTATCCTGTTATAGGATGTTCTCTTCAATACTAGGATAACCTTGTGCTTCCACAAATAATTTTGTCCACAATATCTGTGTCGCAGCATCATCGACACCAATCAATTTGGCTTCTGTTGAACTTCGACTGTTCAGTTTCTGTTTCTTTGAGATTATTTGTAATCCTCCTTCACCCATAGTCAATACACCTCCAGTGTGACTTCTGAAATCTGGATGAACTGCAAATGATGCATCAATATACCATTTGAAAGTTCGTAAATCTTTTGCACTCAGCGTCAGGTGCATTCCCTTTGTTCCATTCAGATACTAATACATCAGCTTCACTAGCTTCTTCCAATCAGTTTGATTTGGATTCTGCACTCTTGTAGAAAGTACTGAAATAGTTGGAGCAATATCCCATCTCGCTCTCTTACTCAGAAATAATCCTTTGGCAATGAATGTGTGAAATGTTTCACGTTTTTCATCATCCATTTTTTCTCCTTTTCCGATTGATAATAAATCATTACTTGCTGGTGTAGTACACCCTTCATTTTCCTTGAACTTCGCAGGAAATTCATTCAACATTCGATTGACATAGTCATCCATTCGAATTTTCACTTTCCCCTTTTTACTGAAATCTAGGGTCATTCCCAAATATTCGTGAGTTTTTCCTCACTTAGATTGACTGGTTTGATTGAACCATATTTTTGATTCATCCATTCACAAAAATCATCATTCACTTTCGGATCGATGTGGCTTGATAACAGATCGTCCACATGAAACAAATAGTTTGTTGTTTGCCATTCACAATTTTGTTGGCAATGCATCCATCATATGGATTGAAAATAAAACCATGTTTCTCCATGTCTCCTCTCAACTTTTTGTACCAGAGCATAGAGGCCTCTAACA